TTTTTAATTTATTTATATGCCTGAATGAACAAAGTCCCAACAAATTATGACCTGCTTTTTGAACTTGGAAACCATTTATGTTTTCATTTGGTCTATTAATTCTCCTTATAATGAGCAGCTGACTGTCCCACTTGGGTACCGCTGTGTCCATGTTTGGGAATTAAAGTCTCCACCGAGAGACAGTTGAAAGTGTGAGTTGACAAAATGTAACTGATACAACCAAGTGGAGTTAATGAGTATGTGTTGAAGATGGTTGAATCTTGATTCTGACAGGACACGAATGGAGTTGAACATAGTGATGACGTGGTTTGCCTTTCCAAATCTGCAGTATTAAGGAAAGCTAAATATGCTGAAAGCACTGGGCAGTTGTCTTACAGGTTGCTTATTAAAAGTTGGACTCAACTATCCATATTTGAATTATTCTGTATTCAGAATGGGCAAGCTTGCAACAGAGAAGGCAAACATTTTCTCTGCAGTCATCTCTATCTTCATTGCCATGCGTTAGAGGCAATCCTCATAAATCTTAAAGGATGTGAAGGTATTTGCACCCTGTTTAGCTTTCTTGGAGTTACTATGGACTTACTCCTGGAAAAACAGCTCTGGATAGGACTAAAGAAAGTCTTTTGGGCATGTATGGTCCCAGTGGTCCCCGATGAGGTGGTTGGTTGCTTTGAGTTAAGCACACACTTTATTCAATAGGACCTAGGTTGGTTTGCATTTTGCAATGTTAAATACTGTACAGTTGCTGATTATGCTTTTATTGTGGAACTTCTCAAACCTGGTTGGATTTGATCCTTGAGAAACACCTCTGTGGGTAGAAAAGTACAGCTGCAAAAAAACGTTTGAGATATATGTTTTGTTCCTACCCAAGGGAGGAAGGCTGGCACAAGGAAGCCTGCAGGGCTGTGCTTAAGACAAAGAAATCTGGTCATCTGTGGCAGATGCAAGTAGGGAAATTTGAATAAAGAGAGGACAGAAAATAAGGGCAAATAAACCATGCATGTTTAGGAAGTACAGTTGCTTTCCTGGTTATTTAACTCCAGCCTCTAAGCACAGGTAGTGTCTCTTTGCCTGAATGGTTTCTATGATTGTGAAGTAGCAATTACTTATTGTACTCTAGTCATTAGAGCTGGATGCTGATACAGAGCATTAGAGTTAGAATAGAAGAGAATTAGGTGCTTCAGGCGGAGAAGAGCAAAACTGTACACTTCTGCCTTCTCTATCCCATCTAAAAAGGTAGAGAGAGGACACTACCCAGTGAAAAGTCAGACCAATGTTGGAAGTCCTGGTATTGCTTTATTTTGATATGTCTACTTTGGACCGTGTTCCATATTACTTCTTGGAAATATTTGAGTTAATTTCTTGTCTTCCCAGATGTATGTGCTCAAACACTTGCTCTGGTGTTGTGCTGCAGAAGAATGTTCATACCTGCAGTTTAATGCAACTAGTTTGTTTTCTTGTTAGCAAATTAGGTAAATTTTTCTCCGTTGACTGTGAAGAAAACTTTGGGAAACACTCTCTCTATTGTTTTTTTGCAGAAATCTTTCTTCATTGATTGTGTAGGAAGCTCAGAGGGTCTGAATTTCTAAATATGCTCTTTTAAGTGTGAATTGCTTGGCATTGCTCATAGTGTTTCCCTCTTCCTCTTGGCAAAGAATAATCTGTTATTGGGGGCTCCAGGTGAAGAAAGCCACTATAACACATGCAGTGCTGAAGTGCCCTTAAATTTTTGCTCAAGTGTTGTCCTGAACAGTCCTGTGCTTCTCCTTCTATTCTGTACATGTTCCTTTCCAAGTCTTATACATTAACACCCTCCAGTACAGTATTAAGTAATGTATCTAATACCTCTCACTTACAGCTCATCCTTTCCTTGAAAGGAATTTCATGTACAGGGTGTTTATTTAGGATACTTTTGTTCTTTTTAAAAGAACAGAATGGATGAGGGTTTATAGAAGGATCACACAGTCTCCAGACAGCTGGATTCCCTTTGTGTGTGGCTTTTCCAAATAAACCAGCAGTCTCAACTCCATTTTGAGGTTCTGTGCTGAGGGTGGTATTTATGGGTAGTGAATCTGCAGGAAAGCAAGGAATTAAAACTTCCAGCCTAGTGAAAGCTTTGCTACGCTTCCTCTGTCTCATTAACCAGCACAATACCTGTGCTACCAATACTCCAAATGTAGCATTGCATTTCTTCTCTTAACTGAGGAAATACCTTTCCCTGTATCTCTTGTTGATCCCCCTCTTGGGCTGAGTTTGCTTTACTGACTTACACTTTTCGCTGTGAACTTGCCATGGTGCTAATTTCCATTAGCTGTTCTGATGAGCCTGAAAAATTATAGAAAAACCCAACCAACCAAGCAAAAAACAACCAGAGAAAAGCTCACATGCCCCAAACTTGACCAGCTGCTATGACAAGGCCCCGAGACTAAAATTGTCCTGACAGAGTGCTTTTGTTCTCTTCAAAGTAAACCCCAAACCTAACCAAGCAATCATACAGCTGTCTCAGCTGTACCTCATACCTTGCCACGTGCATGTGTGCTGTCAGCTTAAGGTACATCCGAAGGTCACAGTCTGTCTTTTCTAATGGTCAGTCTTGAGTTTTCTTCAGTGGGAGAATTAAAAAAGATATCTGAGCGTGAAGAATGCGTTCAAACTGTCTGTTGTTGAAAGGTCTGTGTCATAACATCGATTTGCTTGGCTCCTAGATTTTCTGGCCCCTAGGAAATTCAGTTGTAAAAATGATATCAAAGAAGCATAAAAGTGCTGTGTGTTTTTCTTCTGGTTTTCTGTTTGCTTACATTCAATATGTAATGAGGAGGAACCGTTTTGATGCCAAATGCATGAAAATACCTAAATTTGTGTCACTGAAGTGCCGAGCAGGTTTTTTTTCACTTGTAAGGTCAGCTTTCTAGGCTAAAACAAAAAATGTTGTAAAAAAATATGTAGATGATTCATAGGAAAAAACATTACTGTGAAACATGGATTAGATCCTTTTCCCCAGCTCTTTCTTACAGAATTATGGACTGTGCTTCATGTTCGAGCCTCAGTGAGATCTCCAAAATAAGCTAAGGTTGAAGAAAATTCTGACAGCAGAAATATGATTCATTGGACTCTGATTTCTGTGTATCCTGTGGCTGTATATGGCTTTTGATGTACTTTCAGCTTTGGATTGGTTTCTCCATTCTTACTACCACATATCACAGGATATAAACCTGGATGAGCAGAGTTAAGAAGTAGTATTAGGAATAAAGGCTCTCTGTTTGCTATATACGTGTTGGGTCATGCTAGAAGCTGGAAAATTGGAGTTAGGTGTAAAACTAAAAAAAAAAAAAATAAATTAAAAAATCAACTAAGCATAATATTTTACTGTAGAGGATATATGAGTTCTTTTAAAGCTAGTGAAATAGCCTTTGTGGTAACATCTTCAAAGATTTATTTACGAGTGGAAGGCTACAAATAAAGTTGCATAAAAGTAAAACTCCCTTCTCCTGCCATGGTTCTCATATATCATACAGATTTTCTTATGTGGGTTCCCACAGAACTCTTGTGTCAACATAAATGCTGAAAGTTTATATGATTTAAAAAGAAATAACTGGAGAAATTTACAAGGCTGATACATGCACCTCTGACATAGGAAGTCTGAGTCACCTGTGAGACCTGAGAGCAGTGAGACTGAGAGTGCATTCTGGGGAATGTGGCTTGGGAAGAATGTCCAAGTTAACCTTGAGGGGAAGCAATGCATCCAGAAATGACTATATCAATGTGGTGTTAGTGCAGTGTCTTTCTGAGCAGGACCAGCTGGCCTCCAATGGGTAATGCTGTCTGGGAAGCTGTTTCCTCTCTCCCTTATTTCCAAGGTGCTGAACAAATTTAAAATGCATCTGTGTTTTCTGTTTTACTTTCAATTCTCAGTCTTTGGGTCTTGCATTCTGTGGAAAGTGTTTCCTGCTTCTCTGGGTAGCCCAGAGTAGTACTAGTGCTCACTGAAGAATCTACCTTCTGATTACTTGGGAGCTTTTATCTCTGCTGCAGAACAGATATTAAACCATTTCTTACCCAGAAGAATGGATTGATGGCCAGACAAGGAAACTGTGATAGCCTAAGGTTTGTGTAAACACAGCAGCAATTCCCATTACCACAGCAGCCTAGTGACAAAGTTTTACACAAACATTTGTGCTACCAAGGAAGGAAGCTAGACAGCACTAGCAGGCTTGTCTGCAGTTTGGAAATGCAGGTTTAACTTCACACTCACGCAGTGTTCTCATATGAATGTAAGCAAGTCAACCCACCTGTGTTTTAATTCTTTTGGTGGTAGTGTGGGAATATGAGCATCAATCCTGCAAGAAAAAGGCTAAAGGCTAAGTATTAGGGTGCCCTAATACTGTGCAATGAATGTGTAAGTACCACAGGCAGTAATTAGCAATGGTACAAGGCTCTTCTGTTTCTAGAATGAAGAGTACAGTCTGCTTCTCTCTGTGTGTGTCTCTGTGTGTTCAATACATGTGAGGATAGTATTCTTTATTGAATTGACAGTAATTTCACTTGGTAGGTTGGAGCAAAGGTTACCAGTTGCGTATAATTATGATAAATTAATATTGTTTTGTTATGGTGGACTGTTACACTAGTTAGCAGATTTCCCTGACAAACCAAAAATTAATGTTTTTAGGGCAGTTTGTAACAATCAAATAAAGGATTTTTTCAGTGTCTTGACCAAATGTGAACTCAGACTCTAATTTCAGAAGATACCTAAGTTTTTCACTCAGCTGTTCTCTTCTTTTTATTTTGGGAACTTTTTATTCCTCAAAGATAGCTTTATATTTGGCATTCTTCCTGAACATGCTACGCTGCCACACCACAAATGTGTCCGCGGGCTCTATTTTTACATAGAGCTTTTAAGACAGCTGCTGCTCTCACTGGTGTTGCAGTGGAACATAGATGCCCAGGCCCGGCTGTGGTTGATGTAATAATGTGGGCACATCCTGTGACTGCCCTGCCTTTCAGTTATCATCTCAACAGCCACAGTAACTTTCCTCCATCAGCCTACAGGGACTTTGTGTGGTAGGAGGGTGTAATTCTTTGATCTGTGCTGCTTTTTCCTCAGAACCTCTGAATCCTACGCTCTATTAAAACCTCCTCACCTCGAATGTTAAGGCTGTATTCTGTGTTGTGATTTCAAAGCCAGAGATTCACAGAAATTAGGATTGGAAGGAACTGCAGGAATTCCTCTAATCTTTGCACTAATGCAGTGCAGGGCCAGCTAAATCTATTATCCTTCACAGCTAAAAAGTATAGGGGAGCTTTATTGGAAAGTGTAGACATAGATTTTGAGATCTGTAATTGCAAACTTTGTCATGCTCCTGTATTCTTAGACCACTGCAGCTACAGCTACAGTATTGTGATGTTATTTGTGGCAGATGATCCTGAAGACCCCTTAGGTCTGGAGATGCCCAAAGCAATCTGTTCGGCTGCTTATTCAGAACACTCAGTGAAACTTAGCTCCTGGGGCTATCATAACTGCTGCTGCAACATTGACCTTTGCCAGCAGATACACGAAGCTTATTTTGTGCAATTAAGGTGGGAAGATGATACATTTTGGGTACCGCTCACTTTTAGAGATAGTGATAAATACTTACAGTGGTAACTGTAGAAAGATATTTAATGCAAGGAGAGAAAACATCACTATAAATCATTGTGGCTTTGCTGGTTTGAATTAATCCTATTCTCTTAGGTTGACTAGGAATCTGGTCTTGTGTGCATGACTGTCAGATGCATGAGAATCACAGTCCTCACAAATAAGGTGTTTTTTTTCCCAAAGTGCGGATGCAGGGTTTTAATTTTATTAGAGGTCACCTTTTGTTTCAAAACCTTCTGTTTCCAGCAGAACTACTTCAGAAATGGGCTTATCTTGAATGCAATGTTTTGTCAATGTTGTGCTTGTAGAGAGGGCTCTGATGATGGAGGTCATACCAGTTCCCTCTGTTTTGCCATTCCCCAGATTAATACAGTGTACTCTGCACAGAACATGCAGGGACTGTGTATATCATGCTAATAGACAGTGTTTGCAAAAGTTATAATTCACATAGGTAGTTACAGCAATGAATTAATGCTTTTGGCATTTGGGAAAGAAAACCTATTTAAAATCCAGCTGCTTGCCAGCTGTGGCTATTCATAGCAATTATTACACTGGCCAATATTTTCACTCCATCTTTTCATTTAAAAGGTGTAATGAATGATTTTATTGCCATCTTAAAAGTCTATTTATAATCCATTCATCTTGTGATAAACGTGTGTATCTGATTCTTGACCTCTATTTAATACTGTACAAAGCAGTCTTGCTTAGTTTCAAGTTTTCTTGGCACAAATGTGAGACCATCACATTTTTTATCAGCTTGAGTGACCTTATCTGTTTACTCCTGTACTTCTAAATTATGAGTTTCAATGAGTATTTAATTGTTATTAGGATTTTTTTCCTCTATATTTTAGTCATCGCTACCTTTCACTTCTCTTTGGTAGCAGTATCTAGGTAATGACTGGGAATGCTTGAAGGCTTTGCAATACAGGCAGAATCTTGCAAATTCATTCTCTAAGGCCCCTACTGCAGTTTTTGATGCCTATGTGTGTAAAGTAAGGCATCAGATGGCCGTATGGTCAAGATACTGTTGCTTTAAACTTGCTCACTCTTGCAGCTGCCGTGGTAGTGACCACTTGACTTCAGCAACACTACATTTGTCAGCTTGTATTCTGATCTGTCCTGCTGCAGCACTGTTATTAACAGTGCTTGAATTAGACCAGAGCTGGTGATGGAAACAGTCCCACAGTCTTTGCCGTGCTGCTGGCAAGCCCAGAGCCTAATCAAAGGAGCAGCAGAGGCTTAAATGTCTTAGATGGATGAGGAGGAAGCTTTAGATCTTGACATGTGGTTGGGGCACTGGGCATTAAACTTTCAGGTATTTTATGTCTAGTGTTCATGTATTGGCTATGATTGCCCTTCCTGGCTCCCCTGTCCCAGCTTCACCATCAGAAATTGGGAAATTTGGCCATGTGACCTTGCTGTACTAAGATGATCAAATTCTTGATGGGCTGTACCTGCATTTTTCACCCCATACTCTTCCATGCTGGCCCTACTGTCCTCAGATTTTCATAAAAATTGGTGTTCTGTCAAACCCCTCTAGGAAAAACAGTCAAGATACATTCCAAAAAAACCAAGCCAGAGACGTCCCTGTCCTGAGGCCTGGCAACCCTGGTACAAGCCCATGGTCTGTTACAGGGTACCATATTTCCTGAGCTACTGTGCAGCTCTGTGTGGGCACTGTGAGAAACATGCTGGATCAGGAGATCTATTTTTTTTCTGTAATTCCTCCTTTGGAAGGGCTGCCTATATCAGAAGCCCAGCCTCCAAGCCTGGGTGTCCGAAAGGAGGGCTAGAGCAATCCCTCTCCAGGCATGGCTAAACTGCAGGATTTTGGACATTGCCCTTGCTCCAACAAAAACAAGCTGAAGGCTGTAGGACCTGTCCAGTGGGAGAGCATGTCTGAGAACACTAGCTCTTTTTAAAAGGAGCTCTTTTTAAAAGCTCCATTTTCATAACTGCCCACCTAAGTAGGAAGAGAATCGCATCCATACACAAGCAGTAATTGAAGGGACAAGAGAAAAATGAAACTAAACGATTTATGACAGGGAAGGTTTGAGGTACAGGAAATGGATTTTAATCAGAAAGCCAAAAACATATCTGTGTAGGGGCACACATTTCTGAGGTCAGTGGATAAGACTGAAAGCTGATCTGACAACTTTAGCATTTGTATGCACTAGAAGATCTAGAAAAAAAATGGGATATATCCATTTTTGCTTTCTTTACTCCCCGATTTCTTCAACAGACCATTCATTATATGGTCTGTTATGCTGGGGAAATTTTCCCTTCCTTTGTCTGTTTTAATTCTTTTGATAACAGTGTGAAGCACAAAAGACATCTTCTGAGGCACCAAAATTCAAAGAATATTGCTCTTACTTGCTACTTAATATTTTCTTTGTCTGGAAATTATTCTACCACCAAGGAAAAGTACCAATCCAGGAATATCAAGTCTTAAGAAATGAGGAACATATATGCCTGTGTCTCTGCAGTCTTGGTGACTTCATTTCCCTGAGGAACTAAGGGCAAGCAGTGTATCAGCATTGACCCTCAAATCACCTCACTTTCCTGTGAAACTCCTGATAGGACCTGGACTTTCTAATCCAACTCTTTTCATATCTAACTCCCACCACATTGATCTTACCTTTAGCTTCTTTCTTCCCTTGCTTGCTGGATGTCACATTTACTGTTGTGATATATTTGGTAGAGTAAGTTTCAAGCTTTCCAAAATGTTGTCATAACTGTGCTCAATAGATTTATTTTATCTATTGCTAGATAGAAAGAGGAGAAATAGCCTGCTAAAGGTAGCTTTAGGGATAAAAAACTGAGAAAGTAAAAGAGAATTAATTGCATATAACTTAGCAAAGAACTAATGCATTGGGAAAAGAGGTGCAAATGCTTGTGTGTGTGAATACTACTAACAAATAAGAGATGCTTGAGTTCCTACAGGGTTGAAGTCATTAACTACATGGAGAGTTACTTGCACAGTTACTTATCACTCCTTCTGCAGTTCTTTTTTCAGTCCTTCTATGTCCTTGATGAGTTTAGACTCCATCCTGTAAAGGCTTATGTACCCACTTCATTGTGGTAATAAGTGTGGGAGTTGCTTGCTTTCACCTGAGCATGCACACTAATCTGCAGAGCATCAAGAGTAGTGGGATATACACGTACTGTGCATTCTAGAGTTGGTAAAAGTGCAGAAATAAACGTTGATTAGTATGCCATTCAATAATTTTTCATTCTCCTTATACTGTCTTTCAAAAATATACACATTACCCTCTGTTCAAAATTGGTTCCCAATATGAATGCTATTTGTTGTCTTGAACTGAGATTGTCTAGCCTCATTTAATATCCTTTTCGAAAAACTTGATGTAAACTTTTATTTATTAATTGTTCTGTATTTTCTAAAGAGTTTCAAAGCTGTTACCTGATTTTATGGATTTCCAATTTAGGGACACTTACAGGGCTTGATTTTTGCAGAAAATCTGGGTCTTGAGGGCTAGTTAACGTGGCTAAAATTCCAAATCCTTCAGACAGACAACTAAATACTTTAATGCAGATTTCATCTCTCTGTGATATTTTTGTCCCAAAGTCCTGTCCAGTACTTAGAAATCTGATCATAGGATCTAGGAATAATATAGTTTGGATGGACCTTTGTACCTTGGAAAGTTTTGCCAGTAATTGTTTAAAATGACTCTAAGAGTTTGGAATATGTTTTTACTCTCTGATATGTAAAACAGACCATGAAATTAATATTCAGACACAGTAGAGTAGTTCTTTTCATTACTTAAATGGGCTTAATTGGAGTTACAGCAAATTTAGAAGGCATACTAGCAGCACTATATAAATTAGATATGCATTCCTATGAATAATACAGCCATTATCCAATTCCCCTTCTTCCTAATTTCATTCTCCTCCTTAAAAGAAGTTAAAGTTTTTGTCACCTACTTAATACAAATTATGTTTTTCTCTTAGGAAAGAAATAATAGAAGAATAAATGGCGCCAAACTATAAGACAACAGGAAAGTCACTAGGAACAGCAGTGAAAGGTTTTTTGTCTTTTGTGGTAAAATATGCCTTGAATTTGACTGTGGTTTCAGCATGACAAGGAACTGTAATGTACTATGACCTGCTACATTTAGCAGACAATAACAAAATTTGGAGTCAGCAATAAAACCTTTTTGTTGATCTTTCTGTCCATGCTTGCATCTACTTTGTGATTGAACAAGATACTTCTGAACATACCTCTTATATGCGTCCATTGGATAAATACTTTCTGAAGCAGTGACACAGCTCCCATAACACTACATTTACTAAAGTATTCCTCTCTGTCTGTCAATGGTGTATACATGGTGGGTTGATCTCTGTTAGTAACTTTTGAGAGAAAGGGGATATGCCCTTAAGGTCAACTAAAATTTTTGCAGTTGGATGCAAGTGAAGTGATTTCATAAATTTTGCTCGATTAGCAACAGCAGATGGAAAACCCAGGCAGCAGTCTAGGTGATGGGGTGACTTTTGGGTGGATATGCCTCTGAACTAAACAGTGGCGTACTTCTAGCAGCTGTTTGCTTAGGCTGTGCTTTTAATAGATGATCCCTGAGCACAGTGGTACTTATTTTCCATGAAAAAAGCCCCTATTTTTCAGACTTTAGAAGGCCCATCAAAATGTTCCATTTCCTCTTAGCCTTCATCAAAAGACTGAAACAATTCTATTAAAATAGGAATTTTCTCTTAAACTTTCATTATTTAAAAAATTCTTTTTGAAAAAGAGGTGTCTGGAGCAACAAGGCAATATAACTTTTAAGCTGTCTTTACTCTTTTATCCAGCTTCTCAAGAAGCAGGGGAAGATTTTTAGGACCCAAATGAGAATTAGGTTTGCAAAGGCTCTCAGCTTTCACTAGAACTTGAATGTTTCTGTCTTTGAACCTTTTAAATATCCTCTCATAACAATGGTGCTGAGTAAGCATGTTCTTTCAGATTGATTGAGGGCCAGATTTTAGGGTCAGAGTTATTTTTTAATGCCTGTTTTAGTATTTTTGGTACTTTCCACTCTCACAGTTATTCAGAAGTGTGCATGAAATGGAAATGTCTTTGAATATTTATCTTACTTCCCTTTCTATTACTTGCCATGCTTTTTATAGGCTTAATTTTTCTTCAGTATTTATGATACATTCTGTCTAACTTCAATTCTGAGTAGCAGTTGTAACTGAGACTTAATGAAGTTTTTTGATGGTGAATATAGATGCATTCAAATAAAACCTTTTATTGTAACATATTCCCAAACTAACCAGTGGTATTAATTGCGCTGTTAGCGATTCAAACAGCAAACTGAATTTTTAGTTTGTATAGCGTTACAATAAGACCTAAGTAAATCACTGATAGGAAAGAAATTAATAAATTACCTGAAGTATCACCTCATGCCTTCTTTAGCAACAACTTTGTTTTCTTTCCTATATGCAATTGAACTTGTTTATACATATTCTTTCCTGTATACACTTGAAGTTGTTCACAAATATTTTTAATGAATATTTCTAAGCATTTTCTTGATCATAGAGTTTTTCTAAGCAGTTGATTGTAAGTATCTGGCAATCAAAATGCAAGCTGTGCTGATTCATTTTTATTAGACACATCACTTATAGCAAGGTATTGTTTGTCTCCCCAGATGGAGGTTCCAGTTCAGGAAAATATTAAAACAGAGATTTCAAAGGGACTTCATAAAATGCTTGAAGGTAAGTATGTTCCTCAGCACTTTACTGAGTCCAGAGTATAATGAGAGTAGTTCTTTAAAGCAAATTTCTGCTAGTTGTGTTTATGAGTTTACCATACACCTTCTGTCTATGTTCTTCGATGTTAAATTAAAACTTGCTGCTTCCATAACACCCTTACCAGGAAACTCACTTGCCAAAAGTATCCATAGAGAGGGAGCAGAAAATGAATGTGAATGCAACCATAGCAAATGCTGGTTTTATTTGAGTGAATAGTCAGGGTAGTAGAAGGTGCAATTCCAGTTCTAGTTACAGTCTAAACAATGTATGTAATCCATGAAACTACAGGATTTAAAATAAAGGCCTTTAGGCCTTTTTATGTACATTATCTAGCTACTCAAATATGGACAGCATTTGATAACTCTTTGGTTTTTTCTCCCGTATTTATAGTCATACAAGACAAGTAGATGTTTATACTTTCAGGTTTTTCTCCTTCCCATCATAACAAGAAATTTTAAAAAGCAATAGGATTTAAAAAGCAATTATACACACACATATTGACAGATATGACCATCTTCCTTCCATGCTGCCTGGTTTTGTCATGTAATTTAAGGAATGTAATCCACAGCTCTGACAATGACATTTATCATGTAACCTTGAAAGACAGTTTGTCATACAGAGGGGCTCAGACCTCATTAAAATCTCATTCCCAGCCAGCATGTGGTGATGGAGGACTTGGTACAGGTATAGAAAGTTCATTGTAGGGTCAGAGCTAGAGGATGGGGATGAAATTTCTTCTGACATCTGCCGGGGGGATAGATCTTCTGTGTAGGGTGTTGTCAAAAGACAAGGGCATGTGGTAGACCTTCTTGATTGGACAGCAGAGGGTAGGATCTGCTGCTTTTAGATTTCTAGCCAGTGGATTGACAGTTCAAGCTACCATCTCCAACTGAACGTGACAGTGACTTACTTCACTCCTATAAAGCAACTTCATTTAGAATATTTCTAAAATTGCTCTAATTTCAAGGATTGCACATGCACACATTGTTTCAGTGAACGTTAATATAATTGATATCATGTATTTAACTATTAGTAAATCTAGTTTTATTTTGAACTGTGTTCAGAGTTATCACCTGACAGCTAATTTTTTGCTACGGAATGTCTGGTTATTATGTGTATAGTGTGTGAAAGATACATATTTTCATAATAGCAGGAGACATAGTTGCAGTAGTTTGAGGTTTCTCTTGAACTTGTAATCAACAAACTGTTCTTAATTTAGATGAAGCAAGCATATCAAACACAAATATTAACCATTATATCTTTCAGTGATATTTTAATGTAATAACAAGAGATTTGGAAATAAATCACCAAAGCTATAAAACTCATATATGCATGTCCCATGCTGATTGTAACACAACTTGTTTACCAAGGAAGAGGAAGTCTTGCTTACATGGCAGAAAGCAAGGGGAAAAGAGTTTCTCTTTGTCATTTACCAGGTATGTCTGTGTGGACTTTATAAGCACAAACACATTAAGTATATCAAAATACTAGGTTTACTTTCCAGTCAATGGTACCTGGTAGGAGTACAAGGTACTTTGCACTGAAGACGTATGTTCTTCAGTGCAAAGCATTGTGGTTAGGTACACAATTGGTGTCATTGGCAAAGAATAGCTAAATACAGATGGATGTGAATCCATACAAGGACTTTATAACTCATTCTCTGCAAGAACATGAAGAAGGAGGAAAAACCAGTGAGAGTACCGGGTTTGCTGCTAGGAGAAGACTGGGAGGCAGTGGTCTGGGCTCTCAGTTCTGCTACTGATCTGCTGCACACAATTAGACACATCATTTTCTCTTTCATTTTGTTAACTCAGCCACAGCACCTGAGGGTCACTATGAGGCTGTAAGCTCAGCTGGTCTCATGTGGGTGCCTTCCTGAATAGAAATTGAGGAAAGCCACCTTCCGCTGCAGTGTGGGGTACGTGAAAGTTAATTTATGCTGGCACCCTCTGTTTTCTGCTTCATCCTCCTGTGAATAGTAGGAATAGAAACACCATTGATTCTTCATGGGTGTTCAGCTTCATTAATAAAGTGGTTCTGAACAACAGTTTTCAACCCTGAGGGTAGGTAAGTTTTATTCATTTTTTTTTGCCCACAGCCTGTATTCTTATGTCCTGGCAATGGTTACAGCTGGCTATCCATCATAGTAGAGTAACCAGACCTTTACTCCTAAGTCAGTAAAATCTGTGTACCTCTGGGGTGGTGCATGAATGTTGCCAGCCTACTGCAAGCCCACCACCCCATCTGGCTGCCCTGCCTAGCTCTGTCTGCATCTATTTAGACCTCCTGGTGTGCTGGGTGTTTTAAACTATGATGTGTTTAAAAAAATAGTCATATGTGTTAAGAAAATAAACTTTTAACGAGGTTTTTTTTTTGAGGGATGAGGAGGACAGAGGGAAAGGGGAGGGTGGAGGAGGGTCACAGAGAGGAAGTGTTTGAAGGTACCCGCAAAGTTTAAGTTAAAAGCTTTGTGGGACTTCGTATGTACTGGGACAAGACTTCCCCTGAAAATAGCAGGGACTTAAGGAGCACAGTGTCTCTTGGATGTCCATCCCTTTAAACATGGTTTCAAAGGTTATTGGACACAAGCCAAGCAGTCTGTAGTCCTCGTTTGCTAATAGTTGGTGCTTCAGCGATTGTTAATCCTTCCTGTGGTTTTCACACATAGCAGTTTGTGACAGAAGGGCACAGATTCCCCAAATGGTGTCTTTTGGGATCTCAGTAGCTGTCATGTCACAGTAGTCCAGAGCTCAGTATGGGCTAATTTCTCCTGGGAGCATTTACAGACTGAATTTGTAAGCCTGTGTTCACTGTTGTTTCTGTGCTTCTGCTTTTTGTATCACAGTACAACGCTGACCCAGGAGTTCGTGGCATGATGACATGTGCTAAACCTTCAAACAACATAATACACTCAGCAACTCTAGAAAGTGGTTGTTCAGCAGCAGCAAATGAAACTGGTTAGCTGGTGGCTGATTTACACACACACGAATTGTCATTGCATAAATTGGCATTATCTCTGAAAACTTGTCAACTTGCCCAGCAAATGGCTCTTGCAGAGGGCTTGGAGGGTCATCAAATTCAGCCTGTCTTAGACAGCTTTTTTGACTCACCTCTCTTGGATCAACAGCAGGAGGGCTTTCAGGGCATTTGTGAGCTGTGAAAGGGCAAAGGTTATTCTGAAGGATAAACAGGGTAATAAGTGAGTCAGTCAACCAGTGGAGGAGGAAGACCACATTTGCGATAGTGTGGCTACAATATAGAGAAGCTATACCACGGCAAATCAGTGTGAGACCTTTTTCCCCTTCACACCATGCCCTGCTGCCTCAAACTTCTTCCTCAGCCATGAAGGAGCTGGCCCACAGCTCAAGGTCACCCCTCCACATCACTCAGCCCTTTCACTCAGTGACAGTGAGACTGGTATTTAGGTGATATTGGCTCTAACCTGTGAAATATGCACAAGTAACCTCTATTAGGGTATTAACCCAACTGACCAGGTGGTAAAAGGCTCCATATTACAGTGAATAGCCTGAGAAGAGACTAATTCGCTTCACTCTCTAGCTGGGGAGAGAAATGACAAGTAAAAGGAAGGCTTTCTCTACACCAGGTATAATTAAGCAGCATGCAGCTTGTTGCTTCAGGATGCTATGGAATTGTCATTAGAGAAATTTGTTGTCATGATGTGACCAGCAAACAGTGCAGTCTCCATATAACCTCTGGCTGAGGAGATTTTTTAAACTGTGCATGGCCATTATTAAGAGAAATCTCTCCTAAACATGATCAGTATCCCCATTTACATTCCTAATCATCAGTACTGTCTGTTGTCAGAGATGGTATCCTCGGTTAGAATGCTTGGTCTAAATCTACATAGTTCCTTCCATACTTTTAACCATTTTTTTAATCCATTTGTGAATTAAGAAATGGATTGTACAGCTTGGTGCTTTGAAGCTTAAACCTAACAGTACAGAACTCTCTAATGGGTCGAAATTCTCAGCCAGTAGATTGGCTGTAGGCTTATTGGTGAGGGGTGAGTCAAGTGATTTAAAGTAAATCATCCTAGAACTGTCTTCTCTGATCTCTAAAGCGTATATCCTGTTGCTATTGCAGCAGGATCTTCATGTGAAAACGAAAACAGAATTTCATCTGAAGCTTTAGTTCTCCCAGAGTACTTTAAAGCAGATGTGATTTTATATTCACAATACAAAAGCCTGAGCCATTCAGTATTTCACTTGAGCATGTCATTTATTTTCAATCTCCGAGTAGCAAAAGGTACTATGATAATAAATGAAAACATAAATTCCCTTGAATTGCTGTCCTTTTGCTTTTTATATTGCTGCTGAGATTTTTGTTAGCCTTGGTTTCTTTTCCTGACCGCCTTTGAGTCTATTCAGTGATGTTCCTTAATGGTTCCAGTTGGTGTTCAGAAGAGGAGAAAATCCTCTCTCAAATCCAAGGTGTTGATGAGACTCTGAATCAGAATTTTTTTAAAACTAGGTTTACTTCAGATTCAGTATGATATTTCTGGCCAGAGCCAACAAGAGAAAGGAAGCCCTTCTACACTGCTAGTTAGTTGTCATTCTTGCCCACAGTTGCCAGGCATAAAGATCTGCTTACTGTAGTTTGGAACAGGAACCTGAATGTTTTTTTTAAACTTTATTGCTGTCTGTCTTGCTGAGTTTCTTCTTCATGGATACGGTGGGTACTTAAGCATTGATGTGGGCAAAGTGACTGATTCAATGACTTGTGGGCATTCAGCAGGACTGCTTTCGGCTGCATTTGTAGTCCTATTTCCGAAGAAGGTTTTCTTCTTTGTCTGTCATATCCCAGGAAACTGTTTTGGCTATTCTGGAAAAGCATGTTCAGCTTGCATGCTGCTTCAGAATTTTTCCATGAAAGTTCTTGATATCCTCCTCTTTGTGGAACAGAACTAAATGTCAGAGTCTGAGTGTTTGTGATGAAACACAGTTTTTGTTTTCCAGACAGACCTGCCAGTGACAAATAAATGCTGGCAGCACGAAGCAACTGTTGTGACACAGCCTGTCAGGAAAGCAAATCTGGGCCTTGGGCTTTCACCACTTTGGGCTCCTGGTGACAGGTGTCCAAGTGGCTGCTGCCTGACTAGACTGCTTGTATCCATAAAACCTCACACCACTAAGTCACAGCAAAGAGACTTGACATCGAGTGAGTACCTGTAACAAGACTAATACAGAGAAAAGGCCTTTCAGATATGATCAGATGCTGTTACGTCTCTCTTTGTTTTACCAGTGCTGTTCCGGTGAGCAGGGTTTTATTCTAGACAATGCAAATGGTGTATTGTTGTCACAGCTGTTAGTGCTACTATGAGAAGGAAGAGCCAACCTTAAATACTGAGTGCCTGGCTCTTTCAGTGGGCAGTGTGCAGCTGACAATTTCCTTTTAATGCCCTCTAATGCAATAACAGACCTCTATTTACTTGTAGGTACTGAATGAGCAGGCTTTACTACTGACAGAGAAGTGCTTCTAATAACTGCCAACAATGTTATGTTGCTGTAATCCACATTATGGCAAGCAAGGTAAAGAGGTTTGTGCCATTGCTCATGAGACAAGAGGGAAATAATGATTTTAATAGAGTGTTTTTTGGGGGGAAGCTGCATTAATATATAATTTTTTGGCTAAATGACTGTTCTCTTGCCATTTGAACTGCACAAAGTGAATCAAATGACTGTGTGTTGTCCTTACCCTGCAAAGCCGAGTCAATCATGTTGAGTGCGAGCAGTGTGAGTCTTTGCAAGTCTTAGGAGACACATTAGAAGTGTTTAGGGCAAAAGGTCGTATTATGAAGTAAGGGATGGAGCTGCATGCTCTTTATTTCTTAGCTGAAGTTTCTGAAATGTTTTTCCTGGTACGTGATACTTTTCATACAACTGAGAAGCCCCTTGAGGAACAGCTCACAGTTGTAAATTCTGCTTGCAAATTTTAATTAATCTTTTTTCAATAGATACTGATTTCTACTAGGTCAACATATACTTAGCGAAGAGGCCTCTATGCAGTCTGCTAGTACTTTTGCAGTACTTTTGATTAGGCATGTAATTTCAATTACTGTCGATACGGCTTTATCCAAAAGCTCTTTTTTAGTATTTATCTTTTTTTTCAGCTTACAGATGCCAGCAAAGTAGCATTGGTGTTTTCATACCATACAATATAAGCTACAGAAAAGTATAACCATAAAAAAGCAGGGAAACAGCAATATGTATACCGAGGGCTAGATTTAAGACAGGAAAGTATCTATGTATCCTATAGCCATGTAAATCCTGCTCAGTGTCTGAGCCAAACTCTCTAAGTCTTTTAAAAAGCCATTGGCTCCTTAAGGCCAGACTTCCAGCAGTATTTGTAAGAGAGTGTTGGTGGACTGCGAACTTTGGTCATTTCAGCACTAGGCATTTCAAGATACAGA